AGCTTTGAGCTTTGCTCTTCTTCTTGTTGACGGCTCAATGAAGCGTTGACCGTGAACGACGGCGATACTCTTGGTGGTACTGTGCCACCGAAAGAGACGAAAGATGCTCTTGGAGCAGTTGCGGAGCGCAGTTGGGGGTCTGGGACCGACGAGGCAGGGGCGGCGCGACGCGCTGGAGACGTTGGGCCGTGGGCCGGAGTGGAAGTGCCAGGCATCAAGGATGCGAACGCGTTTGTGAGCTCGTGGAGCTGCAGAACGCAGAGGTGAGGTCTAGTGACCTCCGTCGTCTTGACAAGACGTGACCTCGCTGAGGAAAGTTCGAGAACGGTATGTTCTCATCTTAGTGAGGGAGAGTGTAACGGGGTTACATGGTGTGGAACACACAGGGGTACGAAGTACCCGGAGAGTTAACAAACTCTCAGTACATAAGTTGGAGAGTTAACAAGGTCTCTCAGTACGTTGGCTGAAAGCCACACGTTATGCATTTGATTAGGTTTAACTATGCTAGATAGTTAAAGAGATACATTTACCCCTAGGCGGCTTGGCCGCAATAATAGTAAATAAAACACTTCTGGTTTTGAAGCATAAAAGTTAAGGTGTTAACTTTGAGCCCTGGTCTTGGGCTGTAAGTGTCCTTTGGATAAGGAACTTAGTATCAGTGACTCTTTGAGTCGAACGTCTTCCTCTGACGCTAAAGCTACGGCAGCCCCGCTGCACTGTCCTTCTTCGCGGAATACAACTTCCGCGTCGAATACAAGCCGGGCAAGCTCAACGTGCTTGCGGACGCCCTCTCTCGGCGTCCCGACAATGAGTTGGCCCACATCACGCGGGTGACAACCGACTTGTACACAGGCTTGACTACAAAACCTACAAGATAATGATAATGAATGAAGACCGCAATAAATTAGACGATACAACGCTCCTACCTCTCGTTTAATGCTGACTGGGCGCCTTCATACACCCCAATAGAACACATGTGGTGAACGTGCTTTCCGCACACAGTACACGGGTCCGTTTTAAGTTCGTTGCCTTCTTGGCAGCCCATCACCGAGCAACCCATATTTGCTCTTGCCAATTAGACTTCGTGTGAGGCGCGCTTTCCGGTTGAACCAAACTGGCTACTGTTGGACGAGAGCCACACGATCAACTGTTCGACGAGAGCCACACGATCTATAGTTGCGAAATAAGAACTCACCTTGCTCGTTTAGGGTGCCCTGAAATAGTCGTTGAATAGTACTATCAAACCACGGCGAGACAGTGCTATTACTACCAATAGTGAATACCACATAATTGGTAGTAAGATGACTACTATTGCAATAGTAGTAGTAGTAGTATGACTCAAGTTTACTATTATAAAAAAGACAACCAACCCCTGAACCTGGCGCCCGGTGAACAGTACTATCGGATGCGATGTACTATCGATACACGTAGTATTAATATATTGTAGTAGTATTTTAAGATGCTTTTCAACGACCAACACTCCGGTGTCAAAAACACATCCTCCAGCGTAAATGCAAATTCGGCAATTCTTGTCGCGGGGAAAAGCGGTGGCCGCGCCGCCTAGTCGACGGCTTGCCTCATCCGGCGCTGCGAAGGGACCTCACTCCTCTGCCCGTAAACGCTCGCGCTCGCTGCCCCCGTTGTCTTTGATTGTGGGCGCAGGAGCCGCTGCATTGACGCTGACTTCGTCCCCCGACGATGTGCGGCGACTGCGCAACATCGCTCACACTGGAGCTTTGGTCCTCCATGAATGTGAAGTAGTATCACTGAAAGATGCAGTGACGGTGGCGATGCAGTGGAGTGAGATCTTGAGTCGTGGCAGCGTAGATGCAGCGCAGGACGAGCTGGTGGAGCGTCTGCTTAGCCACATTCTGCATCTTCACGACGACGAGCAGAGCCAAAACACACTACGCTTCCTCATAGAGCAAGGAGTGTTGCCTCTGCTGATGCAATACACAGCGTGGACCAAGCCCGCAGACCCCACAAGACTTCAACGTATGCGATTATAAGTTTGCACCACTATTGCTATCTACTGACCGTATTATATGGCGATTGTTTAGAATTAATGCAGAGTCTCATTAAGTTGCTCGATGTTGCTGCAGCCAATGGACAAGTCGAGCTGAGGTTGTCTCTAGTGACGGTAGCTCAGGCTCTCGCTTATCTCATGGAGCAGGACGACCATTTTGTGAGTTATGTCGATCGATTGCAGCTTGGGGACGACTTGATGAAGGTGCAGCACTTGGCCCGTCAAAAATTAGAAGAGGGGGCTGACGCGTCTCGAGCCTTCGTGGTGAATCGCTCCGACCTGGCTGATCCGAACTCGTCGCGTGTGGCACAAAGCTGCACTACACTGGTGAGCTTGTGCTCCCCGGAAATGCCGGATTCTATTAAGAAATTTGGTTTATGGGCACTTGGCGCACTTGTGCAGGCAGCAAACCGAGAGGAACCGACTGCTCTTCACGCGCAGCAACTAGAAGCAGCTCTAGGACCTGATTTTGCTTCAATGATGCTGGCGTTGCCACGAGACAATGACAACATCGACTTGCACGTTCTGGCAGCCTCAGTGATGGACAGGTTACTCCATATCGCTCGGCATAACCCAGCGGCTGTGACTCGTAACACATACGAACTGTGGATGGATCAAATTCGCTATTGGACTGGAACCGAGGAGGTCGAAATTGAGCCCAAACTCAACAAACGATGGCTTCGACGAATGTCCAGGCAAATTGACCAACAGGAGGCTGGTGAGACCATGCAACGCAAGCAAAAATTACATCTTCAGCTTCAGTTGACCAGTGCTCGATGTCTCCGTACGCTCACAACCTCTCCACAGAGCCGGCGCTACGTGTGCGAGTCTTCAAGCACACGAGCAGCTCTTTTCGAGTTGTCTCGTCAGATTCACGAGAAGAGGCAAAGCCACGGAGATGCAGTTGATGAAGATGCGGTACGAAACTTGATGAGCATCCAGCGGCACGTGTCCTGGACATTTCGCAACATTTGCACCGGATTCCAGAGCGGCGCCATGGCCCTCGATTGCTTGTTCAACGCGTCCTGGACTGCATCCCTTCTGCAGTCGCGTCGAGATTTACCCATGTCACGTTTCTTCCGCGGGGTTATCGACCTCACAGACTTGCCCATTGTAGGAGCTGAAGAATACGAAGCCAGCACCGAGTTCGGATGGGTCGACATGTTAACTGCTTGGAGTGCTAGTTCGGATCACCAAGTCCGTGAGAACGGCATCGCTAGTCTTGTCTTTCTAGCCCAGCAGGATTTACAATCTTCTACAGACTTGGTGTCAGAAGAAGACGAGGGAATCCGCAACAAGCAAGAGCACATTCTACAGGCGTGGCTCACGAATATGCTCCAGCAGATCCGGTTACTCTCGGGTGGGGAGCTGCTTGCAGTGAAGCAAACGGAGGAGATCGCGCACATATCGAAAGAATTAACTCCCGGCAATGAGCGCATTCTGTTCAGCCCCGCCGTCGTCGACGCAGGCACGTCAGCTTTGGCAGTGTTAGCAGAGCATCACCACGCTGAGCTTGTACAGCAAGGTGTCGTTCCACTAGTGGCTTTACTGTCAGCAACCAGTGCGGCTACACCAGCGCTACATACGCAATGTGCTCGTGTGCTAGCGAACCTGGTAGCAAGTTATTGTCTCGACATGGACCCGAGAAGTTCAGCGCTTTCCACCGGCTTCACTCGAGTTGTGACCAGCGACCACGTCGACATAGCCAGATTGCTGGAGCAAACCTCGAGTGGGAAGCGCTTTATTAGCGATATTCGTCACTGGCGCGACTGTGATGACCCGATGCAGCGCTCCAATTACTTCCGTGTCGTACAGAATCTCTGTGCGTACAATGAAGTTGTAGCAACTGGTCGTCTCGTGAAGGATGTCTACTGTGAAGGCGTGCACCCGATCGTCTCTAAAAGCGACATTGAATCCGTGGAGCAACCTACGGACGACAGTTCTGATCCTCTGGTCGATGTGGTGTTCGTGCATGGGTTACGCGGACATCCGTTCGGTACATGGCGCACGGATATGAGCAATAAACTCGAAGGGAACAACAATATTTGGCCGGACGTGTTGCTAGGAAGAGACTTGCAACGCAACAAAATCCCTGCGCGGTTAGTGACGCTAGGCTACGAAGCTGGCATGGTGAGCTGGTCCAGTCCGTGGCCCTCACTGACTCTACAGGAGCGAGCGCGTGTCATGCTTTCTGCTCTCTACGCTGCTAATATCGGTCGAGATCGCGGCCATCCAGGCGCTCCTGCACGCCCTGTAGTCTTCATTACCCACTCGATGGGCGGCTTGTTGACCAAGAAGATGCTCTTACTTGAGCGTGAACAGCGAGATCAATCATTACTGGCTGACAGTACGAAGGGAGTTGTTTTTCTGGCCGTCCCGCACTTTGGCTCGGATCTAGCAAAGGGCGTGCGATCGGAAGCTATCCGCAAGTTGATCCAGGCCCACCCAGCGATCGAAGACCTATCAGTGGATCCCAATGGACAACTCGAGCATCTAAACGATAGCTTCAAGCAGCTAGGAATTGACTGCTTTAGTGTCGGCGAAGAACGCGCGGCACCAGTGGCGCTTGGCCTCTCTGCTGTCGTTGTGAAGCCCGACTCGGCCGACCCTGGTGTCGGCCGCTTCTACGTCTTGTCCGAGTCCGACCACATGACAATCTGTAAGGCCAAAAGCCGCGACGAACCGCTATACCAGGACATTCTTCAGTATGTTATTCAGCATGCCCGAGCGTAACTTGCGTTGCATCAGTTCTGCTGTTTGCCACAAAAAAGCGATAGCCACAAGCGGGAGTCCCAGTCCCCGATAAGTAATACGATATAGAGCATACCTTTTGATGGTGCTGGTTCAATATGACGACTAGAATAGCCTTATGCTGTATACACATGTGAGCGCATACGCCCCATCTTGTGACCTGTGCTGTGAGTGCTGTGAGAAGCAAATACGGTAATGCTGGGGCAAATGCGTTAAGGGTTTAACTGTTGTCATGAAGTCGATGTGGAATGGCTCATACGTCCAGATACACGCGTGTACTATAGTCTCCCATTTGAGAGCTCGCCCCAGTGTCGTTGCTTGGTGAGGGGCCTATATACCGTGCCGTTGTGTCGGTTGTTGTTGTGACTGAATGAGCTGCACCAGCAGCAACATGCGGCGAACGGCGTCACGACTAGACAAAGTCGAGGAGGCGATGCCTGCTTCACCGTCGATGTCTTCCTCACTCTCCGACACGCCCGCGATACTTGAGTCTCCCACCTCGATGACAGAATTTCACGAAATGTCCACGAAGCTTGCCACGCCGGCCGTGCCGCCTACGCGTCGACACTTGCACCGACGACGACGACTGGAGCCGCACCTGGACCATCATCTTACTGACCGACTCGAATTGTTAGCTCGATACCTGCAGAGGGCGTCCAAGATCACTAACCACGAGGCCTTGCACACCCAAGCACAGAGATCCATCGACGACCTGCTAGACAACATCCACAACTTTTTCTCCGCCTATGAAGCCGAGAAGCGCCCGATGTGGCGTCTGGCACAGACCGGCCGATTAGTGCAGCAAGTCGAAAGTTTCCACCGAACGTTGGACGCCATCACTGCTCGCTGTGGCTTAGCAGTCGTCACTCCAGGGGAAGCAGGTCCATCGTTGCCTCGCTGGCAGGTCGAATGCGAGCAGAGCGACTTGTGTTCTTTCGATCGTACCTAGAAGACCACGCGGCCGCTTCCGTATCGAACTCGCGGGTTCGCGACCCGACAGACCAATTAGAGCTGCTCACGATGTTAAAACACGACGCGGGGCAATTCGATACGGTGCTGACAGCGGATGAGTTGGAGCTGCTGGAACGTGCGTTTACTTTCATTGCGGGTTGTTGCAACACCGCTATGAACGTCGAACCACAGTTGCGCTTGATGTCCTTACCGGAGTGGTTTGTTGCTCCCTATGAAAGGACCAAGCAGAAGCTCAAGTGGCAGCGAGCTGCTGTGACTGTACAAAAGACACCGCAAAGTATGACCTCGCACGAATGTTTTACGTTGGCAAGCACGTGGTCTCGACTACAACACCCTCGTATTATGAAACTGTTCGGCGCGTGTCATGTAAGTCGAAGGCGGTTTTTCGTGGTAGCAGAAGGCACGCCTTTGACTCGGTGCTTTGGTGACGATGGTTTCCCACTGTGGCGAGCACTACACGAGGCTGCGTTAGCCCTGCGTTACCTCCATGAACGACGCGTTGGCCTTGATTACCTGTCGTGCGCTGACCTTGTATTATTCCGCAGTGGAGATCGGGATGCCGTTATGCTTGCAGGCTTCAATCTAAAGAAAATGAAGTCTGCGTTAGATTCCTCAACTAGCAAGTGGACACAAGATGAAGACCCGGTGCTGGAGGATGACGACAGTGAAGCTGGCTACGATGATGTTGATATAGTGCGTCAGGATCGCGAAGCTGACTCAAAATTACAGGTGTTGCCGGAAGAAACTCGCGAGGGGTCAACAAAAAAGAATTGGCAAGCACCGGAGCTGAAGAGAAGAGAGACTTTGGGGCCCACAGAAGCGTCCGATGTTTTCGCTTTGGGAATGTGCGTGATCGAGGCCTTTTCGAATGGGGACGTGTGGGGTATCAATGCAGAGAGGTACCAGAACGATGACAATATTCATGGCAAGAGGACTTCAAAGAACGAAATGCCACCGAGACCAGCTGCTCTCAGTGACACTTGGCAATGGGCTTTGGTGGAGCGTATGTGTTCCCATGATCCTCAGACCAGACCATCTCTCACTGAAGTATTGACCAGCTTTCAAGTCTGTGCAGAAGATGAGGAAAAGGCTAACACAGACCTCTCGTCTACTAAGCGGAGAAGGAAACTCCGTCCGCATTCTCTTCGTCAGACCCAACCACGGGCAACGTCAGCTTCGATTGCATGCGCCCTCAGCGAGATTCAAGCGTGGTGCGATGAGGCTTCCGAAAGCTCAGCTCTAAACCACCAGGTGTACGAGCGAATGGACGACATTGCAGCCCGACTTGAAGCAATGGACGCAAGCGTCGCAATCTCACACCTGCCAGTGTTAGCTGCACTGGTTGTTCGCTTTCGGAGTTTCCTTCAGCGGCATGTTAACGAGAATCCGCTAATGAGACTTGCAGCTACTCGTCAAGTCATTGAAATGAACGTCGAGTTGCATGGAGAATTGGACGCTTTAATGGATCGCCTCCGGTTTAATCGCTCCGGTGCTTCCATCCACTCGTGGACTTCACAGCAAGCTGTCTATCGTGCGCAACTGTGGAAACGCATGCGTCTGTCTTTGGAGATAGATACTCAAACGTTGATTAGTAAGCTAGATGGCGAACAAGAGCTTTCGTTATTGGGAACTTTATTGGCCTTCGAAGCAAAGAAACGGAAGGCAAGTTACTCGGATGAGCACCTGGAGCTGCTGCAGACTGCGGTTGTTAGGGTGGAAGAGACGTATCAGTCCGGATCGGCGCTTCCGTCCTGGTTTATCCCACCGTACGAAGTGCTTTTCAAGGAATTGGATGCTTTTAGTCGAGGGGCCTTGGGTTCTATTCATTTTGGCAAGTGGCAAAACTTGGATGTGATGGTCAAGAAAGTGCTCACACCTGAAGATACGGAGGTCACTATGCCTCTTCGTGGTGCCAAGGAGCCAGCGATAGACCCGTCCCAACGGTTTATCGATGAAATGTCGACCTGGTCGACGCTGGAGCATCCCAATGTGCTTAAATTATTTGGCGCTTGTCATGTTGGCCAGAATCGATTTTTCTTGAGTGAATACGCAGCCCAAGGAACTATCGATAGTTTTGTGGCATCCAAAGTCGACAAGGAACGCGGTGCTTGCGCTCGACGAATGCTACATGATGCAGCACTAGGATTGCACTATTTGCATACACGCAACATCGTCCACATGGACCTCAGGTGCAGCAACATCCTCGTCGATTCGCAAGACGTCGTCAAACTCGCCGACTTTGGGCTCAGCTCTCTTAAGAGCACGGAAAACTTGAATGACGCGACGATCACCCAAACTGAAATCGGATCCCGGTGGATGGCACCTGAGTGTCTTTCCGGCGAAACGCCTACCTTCGCATCAAACGTCTTCTCATTTGCCATGTGCGCTATCGAACTTGTAAGTGGCGAGCTGCCGTGGGGCTCCGAGATGACAGACGCAGCGGTCCGCTCAAAAGCTCGCAAGGGTCTGCTACCACCACGCCCTGAACATTGCTTCTCCGATTCTGAGTGGGCTCTTATCGAGCGGATGTGCTGCTATGATCCGAAAGAGCGCATTACTATGAGTGAGGTCATACGAATGCTAATGTAACAAAGTATAAGCCCTATCAAGGGATCAAATCAAACCCGATGCCAAACTGGTTCCCTTCCCTCATGTGAAGCTGAAAAGCTTAAGCCTTAGCACACAAACCAGTGAAATGGGTATTGATACAAGTGAGATTAACGTTATTACCGTTACTTTTTTTGCGGAAGAGGTGTTCAATCAATTGAGTGAATGGATTCGCCACGAACAGCAAAAACGCCCACGGCTGTTACGGTGTAACCCAGCTCCGGTATGAGTCACCAAGGACTTTCATCTAGATGCGCCACGAAACGGATGCCGATGTTGAACCCAGGAGCATAAATCATTTGCCTTTCCGCTCAATTAAAATGGGCGTTGGCTCCCCGCCAGGAAAGGGGCTAGAGTCCAAGCCTCCTTACTCGTATCCTCACTTTCTAATCTACTCTTCAGAGCACAAGACTCAAGATATCCGCGATGCAAGTGGTTGGACTCCTCGTTCTTGCTGCAACTCTGGCTTCTTTCTCCGCCCAGGCTGCCGTCACGGACAACCACCAATGCTACGTTGAACCTGGCTTCGACTACATCGCCAACGATATCGGGAACGCAACCGCTTCGACTGCAGACGGTTGTTGCACAAAGTGTGAAACCTTCCCCGGGTGCAAAGCATATTCCTGGACGGATCAAAATGGCGGCACGTGCTGGCTTAAGAGTGGTCGTGGTACTATCGTCGTGAGCTCAAACGTTCAGTCGGCGACGTTGCAGCCTCTTGGCGACCCCAACAACTTCGGTGGTTGCCAGCTGGACGAAGGCATCGACTACGTGGGGAACGACATCGGTAATGTGCGCATGCTCAAGCCCCTTGGTTGCTGCAGCTCCTGCTTACACTTCCCCGGATGTCGCGCCTTCACATTCACCACATTCAACGGCGGCACTTGCTGGCTCAAAAGCGCGAAGGGACCGACAGTCGTGAACCCTGCGGCTCGTTCAGCTCAGCCATACCTGGAAGCCCCGTCTTGTGGACTAGAGTTTGGCGTCGATTATGTGGGCAACGACATCGGCAGTGCTCCGGCCAGTAAAGCGCAGGACTGTTGCGACGTGTGCTCAAAGAAGGACGGTTGTCGGGCGTTCTCGTGGACGGATCAGAACGGCGGCACTTGTTGGCTCAAGAACCGGAAGGATGGTACCATTCTCAAGAAAGGAGTCACTTCGGCTCAAGTCAAGTCTAACCCGGCGTCTCCAAGTTGTGCACTGGAACTGGATGTGGATTACAAGGGCAATGACATCGGAAATGCTCCGAGCTCGGACCCGTATGCCTGTTGCTCCAAGTGTATGGCCAGAAGCGGTTGCAACGCTTTCTCGTGGTCGAACCACAACGGTGGGACGTGCTGGTTTAAGAGCTCCAAGGGCGCGACAGAGACCAAGATTGGGGTCAAGTCGGCCATCGTCTAGTTCAATTGTTGTTAGCAAGCTACATGGATATATGCGATCATTTCCATCGAATGTTTCTAACTAAACAGAATCCAGACCACCTTGTATCCGCTCATCAACGATAGAGATGCTGCTTCAAAGTCGAGTGGATAGCACATTCTGTCCTGCTACTCACACGTTACGCCCCTTCCACAGATGCATCTGCGAAGATCGATGTATCTCCGTTGTTTCGCGACACGCTTGTTAAACTTGTTTGCCCTCCTGCAAATATCCGCCCAAGAACTTGACAGTACGGCGTCCCAGCAAGCAGCAATGACGGGTTGTTCTCATAGTAAATGATAGGCCACAAAAAAGTCAAATTGTTGTTGCTCAATTTTAAGTTATGGACAGCTCCGTCGCATTTTTGGGAAACTGAGTGTCTCCAAGACTCCAATACGCAATTGATTCCTGCTCAAAGAGTTGCTGGTAATGCCGTTATGGGGTACATCTTGAAAGCGTTTAGACTGAAGAATTATGTCAAAGTGCCAGGTTATACTTCCTGGCTCGTTAATTATTCACTCTTTCGTAACTTCCCGCTTGATTTCATTAAGGTGACTCTCATGACAATCGAGCGCTAGTAAGGAACACGATGGCTGTTCAGTAAACTAAGGCCCTACCTGCATCCAGCATTGAGGATATTGAGGCATGCTCTCAGCATAGAGATACCGTCAAAACGCCAAGACCCCATACGAAAAAAACAAGTTGTGATACATTGAAGAGCATGTCTTTCGCTCGGTTTTTAGTGTACAAGACTGACGTTTGGACCAGTTCCAGAATACGGTGCAGTCATCGATGCTCTGTGTTCTCGCTTACTCGTTCTCTTTGCTCGCTTTGCCCGCATATCCATCTTCATGTCATCTAAAAGACTCAACGCAAATTTCATTCGAGTCAAGAGAACCCTCTAGGACGTCACCGATATCATCTGAATTCACTAATCGCCTGGACAGCCCATGCATCTTCGTACCGTTTATGTCTAGGGAAACCATTAAACTCGTACGAAGTCAGTAGTACAGTCGAGATGTCCATTGATGTCACCGTGTCAAGAACGCAATCACGTATGAGCGACCAAGCCCGCTGCTGTGTCGAATTTGCATGAAACGTGTTGTGGGTGAGGGCGATCACCCAGCACTTCACAGCGATAAGCGCTACGTAACGTTGGTTATCACTACTCGCGGTACAAGTAAGCTCATACGATAGGCATGATGCGTCTGAAGAGCAGATTCACTATTTCTCTGACGAACAGAATTAAGTCAAATTATGGCCCATCTTGACCTAGTCGAGTGAAAAATGCTCGATACACTTTATTCGCAATTCCTTTCGGGTCGACTGACTTCGCGTTTCTTTCAGCAGGAAGAAAGTATAGTAGAAATTTTGGCATCCGGAAAACGTTATGAATGGCAAATACAAACTGCCGCTTCTTGAGAGACCAGGAAATCATGCACACAAGATACAATCCGTGTGTTATCACTATATCCCCCATAAAAACAGCTATAGTGCGGTCATATTGCATTTCCATTCCAAGATAAAACAACTTTAACTACTGATCCAAGTGTGTACCAGGCAAGTTCCATGAATCGTCACAATAACATACGTGCAATACTAGCCCTTTCATATGTTTAAATGCTACTTCGAGGTAGTTTTTATTTTTTAAATACTACTTTTTAAATTTTTATTCTAATAAAATACCCCTCGCAGAGTGCGACGCATTTCAAAGGGTCTGGAATGTATCCTCGAATGCAAGTGCAAATCGATAAAGGAAACACGGTTGGCAGTTGACAGCATTCGATAGAAACGGTCGGTTCGCCTCGGTTGACTGCATCAACATACTAGAATTCGATTTCATTGCTGAAAACGCAGTCCGGTTGCCAGCAAAGATTTGTTCACGTTCGAAGCAGTACGGAGACCCTGATGCTGCTAGAGGTGGGGAGAGTGGATTTGCCATTCGCTCAAGCCACGGATCGATCCACGACGGGAATGACGAGATATTGGTTCCTCCCAAGTTGATACCAACCAGAGGATTTATCAGTAACGGCACGTCCTCGGGTAAAGCAGAAAGCTTGGTACCTGCCAGATCCAAATACCACATTGCTTCCAGTTCAAACAGTTCCTTGGGGACTCTTTCGATCGGAGTATAAGGCATCATCAGAGCAGTCGGCCGTATCTTCCACAGTGTATCTGGAAATTCCGTAAACTGTGTCGTATCTAGATGAATCGTAGCATAGCGAGGCCACTTTGTATGCAGATCATCTGGGAATACCCGCAGGTTGGACACGACAAAGCCGATAATATTAAGTGTTGGTGGGAAAGTTGGGGAAAGCAACCCTGGAGGGAGCTCTCCATTTGTAACATTCACTCGTATGAACATTACGGCCTGAATCATAGGATGATCGACCTGGTTGAGCGCTGCATCTTCCTTCCATTCGACAATCGTTGTGTTATACACTTTGAATGTCTGAAGTGTATAGAAGGTCGTAAATATTGGTGGTACTGTTAGCCTTGGACAATTTCGAACTAGCAACGCCTTTACCGAATGCGCGTCAAACTGATTCCACTGAGCAGCAACTTGCTCATTCTCCCCATCGGTAGCGTCTGTAATACAGTTCAACAGGACGAGAGAGCACGCTGGTTTCGAAATCCCCCATGGACGGACTTGTACTAGACATTGTGGGAGCATCGGGTTCGCCTCAGCGTGAATGTGGACACCGAGAATGACTATGCCCCAGCAGAAAAATGCGAATCGTAACAATCTCGAGCTTGCTACTCGTTCCGTCCACACAGCAGCTACATTTTGTGTCTGGTTCGTAGCGTTTTGCTTGTCAAATGGAGCAATCGTAGCTCCCCGCGGGTTAGTAGGTGTGTTGTTGGAGTCTTTGGTGGTGACTGCAGTCATCAGGACTTCCATCGTGTTCAGGTTGCTTAGCATACTTACCGCAAAGACCATTCGAGTGGCTAGATCGCTCCACGACAAGATGAGAATGATGTTGAACTCGTTCATAGCATTAACGAGCCATCTGTCTTGGAACCAGCGTAAGATATTAAAGTTCCCAGTAGCGACGTCAAACTCCTGCGCATACGAGATAACGAGAAGCAAAGGGATCCCAACGGAAGTCACGAGGTCAAGAAAACAATCACTCAACAGCGCAACCAATCGCATCTTGGTCTTGTTGTGTCGAAACGTGTGATGCACCAGTGCAGTGCACCAGCAATTTATCACGAGCAGAGCAACGTAGAAGCGATTGAGACACAGTCGAGGGACATTCCGACTCATTCGAAGTCCTTGACTCGTCTGTAAAGTCGTCTCGATCGTTTCACGGCAGAGGAGCAATAAATCGTAGTAAGGCCCCTCTGATCCGAAGAAGCCCCGACGACAAAATACTGCAGCAGCATAGCGGTAAATGGTGCCCCCGAGGTTTTCTTGCCTACGTTGGGATTTGTGCCGGTGAAGGTGGCGGGGTGGGTGAAAATTACTTCGGAAGGTTAGCCTTTTGTTCCGAAGTGATCTCGCTATCATTGTCAGAGCTGAGAAGACATGCAAGCCGGCAATAACGCCATGTGTGGCAGCAATCGCGCGAAAATTTTCGGACTTCATGCCGATCTGGTAGAAGTCCAAGAACGTCGTGACGGCAAGACCGGGCATATTCCAGTAAGCTGCGAAGACGAGTCCAAAGAATAGTCCTCCAACAAGGTGCAGGCTCAGGAGACCGATCCACCACAGTCGAACGGCAGTCGGTGTGAAGTGTGTGTCCTCATTAACTCGGACCAGCAAGCTCAGCCGCGGGCCATTGCGCACAGTTGTCATTGCTGTGTTCTGCTGTTCCGCACGATAAAGGGTTTGAAGCATCAATTTCCCCGCAACAAAGCTGTTGAAGTTGCTTGTCTATTTTAGTCTTCTCCACATGAAACGTGCACGACTGATGTCCAAAGCACGAGAAAGCCAGACCAGCCTAAGGACTGGAAGCGGTGGAAATGCTTCTCGTGGCCTGCCACACTCAAATCTCTGTTATCCTCCCCCCATCAGCCAAATATAATTGCCGTTTTCAAGAAGTAAGTTTAGCGTTCCCCGATTCCAGTGGGATTGACTTTAAATACTTGTATTCATTCAGGGTGAATCATCCCCAGATGAAAAAAAATCTGAGGGTGAGTTGCGATTGAAATTTTTCTCTTTCAATGGTAAAAATATTCTTATGTATTAGTGCTAAGAACAAAAAAAAATGTGGAGCTCTTTTAAAAGAACTAGAGCGAATTTTGTCCTTAATTGTAATAAAAATGCTTGGCTTAGCGAAAGCTACTATTAATACTCATCGATAGGAAACGGATGCGACTTGTCCTCGAAGACCGCACCACATTCTCCATTATACGCTCTCCAAAGCTACCACCGCAATGTCAGGGAGAGTATCGTATTTCGCGAGATCTTCTTCGCAGTATGTGGATCTGTCTCGGCGTGGCGTTGCTGTATGGTGGACCGTCCTACTTCTGGTGCACTTGCTGACAGGAGGATACAATGCAGCGTTCGCACTGTTTTACCATGAGCTCAAGCATACATATCTGTACGCGTGTCTCGATTACTCTGGGATCGGAATGCCGGCTGAAAACCATGAGGTCATTTCTCTCGTGAACGCAGTAATGGCTGCTATCCACGGCGGATTCGCGTTGCTAATGATCGGAGGTTCGCTTTGGCATCGCGAATTAGTTTTCTCTCCATGGAATACAGACAAAAAACAAGTTTTTTTAAAAATTAACTCGAAATCTAAAGTTGGTGGCGCCCCACCAAAATCCCGGCTAGCTCGAGCCTATTCGGTGGTCTTAGGGCGGGAAGGCTTAATTGGTGTCAATGGAGGCAGCTTTCACACGATCCTTCTTGCTCGTGAGCTTGTGGAGACATCATTGCAAACCGTTCAAGCTTACCGGATGAGTTGGTTGCTACCAAGGATGCTGCTAAACCGCTTCTATCTAAGTCTCATAGTACTCAACTGCTGGTCGTCTGTGTTGGTTTACTCGCTGTTATTTAAACGAAACGAGGCCCGGAAGCGATTCGCATATCTTGTATGCGATTGCTCTTTGAACCTGATATCGTCTATCGGCGTATTATTGATCGCTGTGTAGGCCAGTACGATTCCAAGCTGACTGGTTTCCCTGTAGAGATGTGGTATGATGACGAGTGGTCTGCCCACGTTTTAAACGAGTTCCAGATGATCCTCGTGGTGTCGTGGATGGACTTGGCAAGTCGGACGATTTTCTCGATCGGCGTGATCTCTACGGCCGCCAACTTGAAAGATTTTCTTCGTAAGTCAAGTGGTGCCAGTTCGAGACGCATTGCATGCGACGCCGAACCTGTCAGCGCACCAAATAACGAGGAACAGGCAGAAAAAACAGCCAAACCATCTCCAGAAAAAGTGAAAACTCACAAGGATCCGAAGCAAAACAAGAGGAAACGTCATTGCATCTTACACGCCGTCTACGGCATTTTTGCAGTGTGGGGGGTTGCGGTCACTGCATTACATATACACGCATCGACGCAGCCTGAGCTACCACAGTGCATGTTACAAGTGCACCCGTGGGCTGTGTCCAATCCAGCTTGCTACTTAGCAGTTCTTGATTGTCATCGTCTTGGCATCTCTGGCAATAAACAGGAAGTTGAGGCGAAGTGGAATATTTGATCGGTCCACTGTCGTGACATTAGTCATTTGCCACTGCCCAGCGCTCGAAGTACCTGACTCGATTTCAGATTTCCATATACTACTGGTATTAAGGTGTACAACACAAGTGTCGACGAGTGGGAGGAGTCTGCAGCAGTCACCAACACCAACCACCCGGCACTCATTTGGTTTTATTTCGTCCGTGTGAAGATGGACGTCTGCCTGCTGGGATTTTATCGTCGGATTTCCCCGGCAATTTGTACGACCTCGAGTTCACCTACACGAACATACGTGAATTGCCAGACGATCTCGATTCGAAGTGGCTACTCGGAACGACGGTGTATTTCGAGTACAGCGAGCTGACCAACGTGCCGGATTCATTAATTCGCACCGAACCTGTTAGCATTTCGTTGGTGGGAAGTCCCATAACGGAGTTGCCACCACAGCTATTTGAGATCGCGGATTTGTCGTACCTGTACATGGCAAGTATTCCCATCAACGAGCTGCCTCGCGATGTTGTAAATCTTTCGCCCAATTTGGTATACGCTACCTTCGAAGGTACTAACATCTCATTCTTGTGGCCTTGGGTTGATTCTCTTGTCGAAATGTATCCTCCGTTGTATTTGGGCGGGTCCCCATACTGCGCTGATTTCGAGAAAATTATTTAGCGGCGAAGCCGATGCGTTCAGCGTATCATCATCCGAATATTCGACAATGCTTATGGATCCATTGGAGCCCAACCGCTATTTTCTTTCGACTGCGGTATTTTGCTACGAAGGGTATGGACTGACTGTTTACCCAGTTGCTTACGAGGATAGTATAAGCGCAATAACATAACATCTTATATTACAATTTTATTAATCTCAGAGTGCACACATATGCAAATGAACAACAATCGACACGTCAACTTCATAATAGCGTGTATTGGTGCTTATTTTACTCACCCAGTATTAGCACTCCGAATCCCATCCAAGTTCAAGACAGGAACTTGCACTCCGGGTCAATCAAGCACTTGACTTCCAGGCCTCGTCGTCTTGAGGCAACCAATTTGTCTAGTCTCCCGCCGCATGATCTGTAGTCGACCTCGTGAGAACGATGCAGCTAATGAAAGGAATAAATGCAGCCAGAAAATGGTTCTGAACCCGACTGCAGCTGCGTCCTAACCCTCAATATGTCCCACAAAATGTCCTAGCTTTAGGTACTATTTCCTCAATACGGGGTACTTCCACGATAAAAGCACTTTCAAATATTGTGTTTTGCAGACTTTTTGGCACCTGTCATTGGAATAAGCCAATTCAAATGATTGATTCTTAATTTTGGTGCTATTCTGTTTATTTTTTTTAAATATTGGAGGTTGCTTGTCTTGCGGCTATACCTGATTCTGCCGACAATGAAGGAGGTGTTTGTACAGCTCGTTACGGCGGGCTCACGAACTGCATTCAAGCACCCAATACCAGCTCTAATCCAAGTAGCCGACGCGCTGTATGGACCTACATTGATAGCTCATCTCCAGATAGCAGTTTACGACCAGTGCAAGTCGCAGGTTGGTCATGCTGACGTGAATGAGCTTTATATCTGCCATCCAGGCTCTGTCATTGGGAGTTATCTAGATCCCACGGGTCTCTTACAGGATGGCATGTATATCGCGGAAATACCGGCTGTACCGGAACCAGGAGTGATCACGTCGATGGTGAGAGAAACGCTCTTGTTGAGATGGGCTGCAGCTGGTGCCCGATCTCAGCTTGTCTACGCATCTGGGGGTCAAGTAGCTTTGTTAACGGCGCATATGCTTGAGAACACTGGTGCTGGCCGTCCAGGCGGAGGGCCATTGACGTTATTTTGTCGGCAGCAGTTTATCCAGCAGTGCAGTGACATGAATCGTCATTCAATTGAGAACGAAGCCATTCAGTGGATTGTTGGTCCACCAGGAATCGGTAAATCATGTGCAGCCTTGGCGTTTGCGCACACCCTCGACCCAGCCAGCTGGGACGTATTGTGGCTCAGTTTTTCTCCAGAGCGTGAAGCATTCATGTGTGTTTGGCTGCGAGGAGGTGATAAAGTGACGTGTGTAATTGATTTGACTGATCTCCAACTCCTTGCACAAGTTTTGAACGCCACTTCTCCCACTAAACACACGGTTCTATTCTTGGATGGGTACGCTACGTCACCGTACGAGATGGAAAATGCTCGACTTCGTTGCAAGAAGTGGCATTACGAAGACAAGGCCTTGCATCGATTGATATATATTTGCTCGATGGCTGGAGTCTCCAAGAAATACCGTCGTGAGAGATATACGATCATACGACCATCTTCAGAAGCAACCGGGCAGCATTCAAGAGACGTTGACATGAAATATACAGATGTAACTAAACTACCGGATGCAGCGATGAAACCCGCTACCCCAAGCGAAACAGAGCTACGTGATGCAGGCATGAAGTCCAGTGTTTCCAGCGTTGCGGAAACTGGCCGTGACGAAGAAGTGATGAGTGAAATGCTTTGTAGACTGGAATCATGGAGGTTTTCAGACTACCAATCTGCCATCAGGTGTGATGCGTTTTACCACAGCGTATCAGACAAGTTTGAAGGACTCAACGCTTTAGCTAACCCAGCAGAAGAAAAAGCGAGGGTACTGGAGCAAAAATACTGCATCGCAGGAGGTAGTGCGAGACTCATGTTTGAAGTTTCTTCAGCAAAAGCTTTTGCGGCTTTAAATGATGTGATTGCTGAGATTTCCAATACTGACCTGATGTCTCAAGCCTCGAGTCGAGCTTTGTCTCCTTGCGCCATCAACCGGTTGCAGGCTGGATACTATCGACCTGATAACGAGTACGAGACCTGCTTTGTAAGTGAATATGTCGCGAGGCGTTTTGCAGTTCTGAACGGCCCAGCTCTCTTTCAAAAGGTGGCTACTTTATGCGATGTCAATCCGGCAATGGACGGACACTTGTTTGAGGCCTGGTTTCTTGCAATGGTTAGCGCTTGTGGAATCAAGCTGTTCTACTACAACAGATTTATGCTGCAGAATGTCATTAAGTGGAACAAAACGGAAACCGTGTTTTTCGATAGCAATCGTGCTTCGATCGCAGCTCCGCTTGCCGACGCTAGATGGATAGTTTCGACGCAGTGGAGTGAAGGCGGATACGATGCCGTTTACGTGAACAAAACAAAGAAAGTCGTTCGATTTGTTCAAGCAACGCGAGCTGAGACCCACACATACGACGCAAACTTCTTCATTGAGTTTCTATATAAACTCGTGGAGCATGACGATATGAAGGGAGTTCGTTTTAAAAGGGCCGAGCTTTATTTTGTTGTCCCGATGGCACGGTTGCAGGAATTCGTGCTCCCTGTGACATCGAAAGAATTTGGTGACGTTGTGGGGCATGTGGCAGAGGCTCCATCCCCTGCACTGGGAACTAGAAGCCATCGCTACGAAATGTTTCACAAATGCAAATCGTTGGTGAGAGTAGCTGGAGTGGAGACTCGACGGCGTAAAAAGCTACACTGTCTACGGTAATTAGTCTAGGTGCGAAAATAGTCTCAGTTCAAAAGTAGTCTAGGTCAGACTATTTATTGTTTAGCCAAAATATCGAGATTAATAAATAGTCTGACCAACACAGGTTCATAAAGAGTCTGACCTGAGCCGTGTGGGTAAGAGTGCGCATTGGTACTCAGTACGGCTGGGTTCGAGTCACCCATTACTTTTTTTTCTCACAACAATTGATTTTGATGTTTGTGGTTCTCGAAGTGCCGACCAAGTGCAAGTACATATACAGCCCAGAATCATTGGAAGCTATAGCAACAGGTGTCTGATGCTACCTCCGATTCGGTGGTAGGGGTGAAGGACTGGATGGTAGAGCGCCGTAGCGCTCCCTCCAGTTACATTTTAAGTCCTCAATCTCTGCTTTGTCGGCAAGTCGGCATGGAAGTTGCTACAGCTACTGCGTAATGTGGAGGTTGTGGAGAACCCGTTGGTCCTGTTCATCGCTGTCCCAAGCGTTTGCGCCACATGCATCCATTTTGTGGGCGACCCACTGGAGCCGAAGGCTTTGGGCAGTCGGTGGTGTGTCCAGACTGCGACAATACCGATCGAGACAGCGACGGCACATCTCAGGCCGACGACTTCGAAGGTGAGCTCGAGTACACGCGATCACGCTCACCCCGTTCATCCAGACAATCGCGCAGTACACAGGCTGTCAGCAGCATCGCTCATCGCCGGAAGGTCGTCCGCTGGATGACAGAGCACGAGGCAGTCAAAGGCGACAGAGGCATGTTTGTAAAAGCTGTCGACAAATTCCCTGGTGTATTCAACTCGATGACTCGGGCAGCCAACTTAGCGAAGGCGGTGGACTGGTGGAAGAAGCGTGAGCGTATACTGGAGGCAGATCGTGGTGCGGTTGTTGTTTCGACGCGTCGGCGAGGTGGAAGACGTCGCGTGAGCTCCAAGGTCATTGCGGGGCGTGGGCGACCAAGAAGTGCGTGGGTAACGAGGCTGTATCCCTTGCTTTTGGACGAGTTTGACAGACTCCGAAAGCTTGGCGTGAAGTTCGAGCCGGCGCTTTTGCAGCAGCTCGCGAAGCAGATTCTTCGAGACAGCTCAGCGCCCTACACTTTTAAAAGTGTTGGCCCAAAAGGTGCGCTGATCATCGCCAAA